AAGTTGAATTAAACATGATTAATACCATCTTTTGATGACCCAAAAATGTTGCTGAACCTTGCTAATCACAAAGTTAAGCTCATCTTGAACTTTCCCTTTTTATCTCACCATCACCATGATGATGATCATTTTTTCATGACGTATTTCTCTCATTATCTCAATTCTAATCAAAAACTTTCTTATTTTAACCATTAAGTTGAAAACAGAAATGAGTCTTGATAGAAGCTCAAAATTTAATAAAAGAAGATGAAAATCGACATTAAAAGTTTCATGAAAATGCTCTTTGATGAATAATTCAATTTGCAAAACAAAGTTTTGAGTTAACACTGTCCACCACAAAACTCCATGGAAATGCAAGAAAAAAAAGAAGTTATTAAAACCTCATTAAGCAAGTTTATCGTCGAAACATAAAAATACCTTCTTCATGTGCCAATCTTTCAATCAAAGTTGAAACAATAAAGAACGCAAAGATTTTCTTGAAACCCAATTCTAATAGATTCAACCGCAGGTTGCGAGAAAACTAAGAAAAGGAATTCGCCAAATCCCATTGATTTTGCGTGCAATATTTCAACCTGAGAATGTTATTCAACAAATTGTTATTAATTTGCTTTACCCGCAACTCAATAGTTTTATGTAATTACCTTTAATATTGATAAAAAAATATATTAATATGTGATGAGAAAGTGCGAGGTTAATAAACAGTGTTTAACATTAAACAGGAAATAATAGCTTGTGGATGTATTAAGATGATATTAAAGGATAAGCAAAAAATGATAATAAATCAAGTCTTGCCATTCCTGGAACAACAAGATTCACAGAAGGTAAACTTTGCAACAGAAAATGTTGAACCAAATGTCCTCTTAATGAACCTTTTTTACCTCATACAGTTTATAACAATTTAATTCGGGTTCAACATCTCACGAGATTTAATCGTGAACATTATGAAACTTTATCTCTATTAAACTTTTACATTTTCTGTTGGATAAAAGGTCAACAATTGATGAGCATTTCTTTTACAAGATTTTTGGTTGAGTTTCCATCGGCAGCAATATGATTAGCGGAGTGCAAATCTGTTGATCAGACGATTATTATTATTGAATCAACTTATGAGTTTTGGTTGACTTTTAGTGGGAAAGAGATGAAGAAAAAGTATGATGAGAAAGAGGAAAATGAAAAAACTAAGTCAAAATTAACTGAGCATGTAATGCACAGGCAAGTCTAATCTTTTTTTTCACTTTTGATTATCCAAATGTGTCTTCAGTGAGGAGGTTGGAATGAAGATGAAGACAACAGTGATGATGATAGAGTAAGTAAATGAAGAGTGATCAACATTACAAGATAAACCAAGAAAATTCAGTAACCCTGAAGAAGCAACCAAGAAAAAAATAGAATCGAAGAAAAGTGAATGTTACAAGAGTTTTTTGCTTCCCATTAAGGTTTTGCCTTTTCATATGTTGATACTTGTTCTTATCAAGTGGTTACAAGATGAACAAAAAAAGACGTATTTGGTCAACCACATGGATGGACATTAAGATGCTTTTAAATAAACATTCATTCAACATTTCATCACGCAAATGCTGCAATTGCAACATGATTTCCTTTTCCCATTTAAAATGCATTTCAAATGAAGAGCAAATTTTCGACCTCAAAATTCATTTTTAATCTTTTCTAAGCTTAAGCTCTAAGTTCGTGTTTGGTAATGGAAAAGAGTTCCAAGCTCATCAGGTATACCTGATCAAAACTGTGCTCGTAATCAAATCTTCGATTTTTTACAAAGTAAAAGTTCCAAAACTATTCCGAAAGTTTATTCAAAATCTTATATCTTATAAATCAACAATTTATAGCCAAAATGATTCGACTTTTGGTGTCTTTTACTGTTTCAAACCTTTTCTTCAGTCGCCTCATCACTCGCTATTTTTCATTTTTGATGAGTTCAGTGCTTTGTTTTTGTGGCAAAACAAGAAGCAAAGTTTCTCGCTCTGTAAATGCTCTTTCAAGGCAAACCTAAAACTAGTTTTTACAGTCCTCAACGTTCGAGTTCTGGGAATGTCAAGATCCTAATGGAATCTCAAGCACGATTATCAATGAACTTGGGATAAAAGTATTGATAATCTGTAAGTGAAATGCCATCGAAGATGTAAAAATGGGTGAAAATTGATTGACTTTCTTCTTCTTCTTCTTTTAACCAAATTAGTTGACATTGTTAAACACGTCAAGTTGATCATTATCTTGTCTCTAATATTATACCAAATTTCATGATTTGTTTCATTGTAAGTGTCCATTTTATTCACAGTTATTCACCCTGTTCACCATCATTATGTTTCACCCTTTTATCTGGTAAACGAAAAGAAAAGATTCTTCATTCTCATCTCATCTGTAATTGACAAACTTTCCAATTGCATGATTAGAATCCACTCCAAGTCATGATAAACTGAATAACTTTTCCACTTTACTCTCCACTCTAGTTACTGGTCAGTTTGTAATGAAATCAACTGATAGTTCATCACCATCATCATCAGCTTTTCTTTATTTTTTTCACCTTTTTTTCGCATTCTTTTCTTTTCCTTTTTTTACACACCATTTTCATCATAATAATGATCATCTTTTGTTGCTTGCCATTGATAATCAACACCAATGAATTATCCTTTTCTCTATCCATTCATTCATTGATTATTCTTGTTTCATCTTATTTGGTCCATAACAGTTTCATGTTCACAGAGTTTTTCATTTGCTTGTACTTGTTCCAATTAGGAAACTTTTTTCTTCCTCTTTTCTTCTCGTCCGTCTTTCCCTTTCAAACTAACCTGTAACTGCAGATGATTTGAGACTGAACAATGAATGGAAACTGATGATCACAGTTGCAAGTTTGGCAAACAGATTCATAAATGATTGTCTCATCCATTTAAAGATAATAAAAGTCTGTACTACTTTCATCAACTTGACCAATGTAACACTTTGCTTCACTCTTTTGGCCAAAACAACAATAGTCCACAAGTCAAGTAGTTGTACTTAATGTCCAATATTGACTTGGAAAACTCTTTTTCCTTCCAAACTCAAATCATCTTTTCCTGTGAATATTCAGAGAATGCAAAAAAAAGATACATTTTTTTCCATTAACCAATTTTCTAACCCAAAAAATGATTACCAAAAAATCATTTTCCACGTCAAAATTGCCAAAAGACTTCGCAAAATGAACTTTTTTCAGCTCTGAATTTTCTTTTTTTTAAATGCAATTTCTTTCCTTTTCAGCAGAAAAAAACACTTTTTTATTTTCCAACTTTATGACTCGAAATTCAGTGTCAATTGCACATGCAAAACAGATAATGAAGAAGCTTTTTTTCTCCAAGTGATGAACTTTTCCTATGAAAATGAAAATGATTAAAAATGAATTAAAGGTTGAAATTTTGTTCAATTTTTGATGAAATTATTTCTCTACCGAATTCCAAGTGAAAATGGAAAGAAAACAATTCTTGTTCTTGTCTGATGAAAGGCTGATGAAGAGCATGAAATTGTAACTTCAATATAATATTATTATAGATATAAATGTTGGCAATGGAGAAACAACTTAAGTTGATTGATGATTGTAAAGACCAATATTATTTGGCTCCTTGATGATATTTTTTTGCAGCATCGTCATCATCCTTCATTCCTTACCAATGATTATTGAGAAAAGTTTTTCTTTCGCCTTCGCCTTCTGTTTCTTGTTGAGTCTTTTTTTTCAATTTGAGAGGAGGATGGATGATGAGATGAGAAACACATGATGAAGGGTTAAGCAAGAAGATGGAAAAGATGACGATTATCAAGTTCTTCGTGAAAAGAAGAAGAAGAAAAATCATAATTCTCAACCTTTCAACATCTTATTGATAACTGAGCAACAATCAATTGATCGCTTCACTTGACTTTGTATCTACTACTAACATCCATTACTTTTCCCTTTACTTTTATTCACTTTGCGCCCAACTTTCATCGATTTTATCGCTCATCTTTCAAACCATTTTAATCATCTTTTTGTATTAAACAATTTAAACTCAATTACTTTACCAATTATTCATCAGCCAAGAGCAAATTGCATTGGAATTCAATTTTTCATATTGAACATTTAGAACGAAAAAAAATTTGGATTTCATATTTTTGTCGAACGATTTTGTTCGTTCAATGTTTGCAGAAATGAATAAATTATCGAGAAATAATTACTTTTCTATGTCAAGAGTGTGTGATGAGATTTTTCGATTTTTTCGTGTTTCTGTACCTTTAACGGTAATAAATCTTTTCTTTCAATATCCGGATTCGAATCTCTTATTTCTCTGATTTAAGTTGCAATTTCCTGATCTCAAGGCTAGAGCCTTGGTCTGAACAATTTGCTCATATTGAGATGAAAATTAATGAATGTCAACCTGAATCATAATTGAAATGTATTCCAATCTTGATCAAGTTTCCGAATGCTTCGAGTATTATAGTTGGAAGTGTTGGGTTCGGCGATTTTCGTCTTATTTTCTTGTTGGACATTCTTCCTTGTGTTTACATTTTTTCCGACTAATCAAACAAGAGGTTCAGGGAAGCGAAAATTTTATTTCTGAAAAAAACCATTCGAATGGCTAAAGGTTAAAATAATGGTTGACTGGTATGAAGATGAGATAAATGAGAAGAAAGGAAAAGTCATCTAATAATTCTTCCAGATTCATGTTCAATCTGTTGGTGACAACAAAGAGATAACTTTATTTGGAGCAAAAAAAAGTATTCCTTCCCATCAGCATACCTTGAAGTTGAAAGGTATGATAAATGAGTAAATTCCTGATAATTTCTATTCTTACATGCATTCACTTGGGCAAGATCTTTATTCATAGCAAAGGTGCAAAAGAAGCTCCAGAATCTGAGACCAAAAAAAAGAACAAATTAAATTTTCCATTTACTGATTGAGTTGCAACTTAAAATTCAATTTTGACAGTAAAATGCTCGAGTTTAATTTTCAGGTAAAATTGAAATCTTTTCTTCTTTCACAGTTGTCTATCAACATTATGATGTTCAAGTTTACGATGATTTTGTGATAAGAGGCAACACTGGGATACTTCGTTGTAATATACCGACATTTGTTAAAGATTACGTTCATGTTGTCTCATGGCTACGAAGCGATGGAAACATTATTCAATCAGATTTGTTTAAAGGTAAGTCAATGTCAATGAAAAATCCATTTTCTCCAAAATTGCAAGTTCCAAACGATTATCATTCCAAGTATTGCAACAATTTATTGGTTGCACAATTTGTTATCTTATATCATCCTTCAATTGGTTCATGATATTAATATGTTGAGCTGTTGATAAGCTTAAGAATCATCTTCATCAATCATTTAACCATTCAAAATGTTGAGATTGAAATAGATTATAATACTTTTCCTTTGATCCAAAAGTGATGATAATTTCAGTTATAATACCATCTTGACCTGTCAATGTAACTTTATTGCAATATCGATATAATAATAATGAAGAATAAAAGGAAATTATAATAATCAATCAAAGAAAATGATAAAAAATTCTAATTCAAGGGAACGAAAGAAGAAAATGTCGAAATTGGAAATTGCAGGGAATGAACTTGAAGTGAAAAGTTGAATTAATAATGATAATGATGGTTCAAACATGATACTTTTATCATTGATTTTTGTTTTATTTGCTTTTTGCATAACTTTCACTCCCAGTCACGTTAACTATCAATTTAACGTTCAATCTCAGTCATCTTGTGAATCACTTTTTGACGTGAAAAATGTTTAACCAAATTGAAAGATTAACCAAATTGTTGAACGATTAATATTAACAGTTGAAGGTAAAGAGAATGGAAATTGTTTTTCAAGAATATTACTGAAATGATAATCAGATTAATGTAATTCATTTATTTGCTAATGAATAGCAAACAATTAATTTGAAATTTTTTTCCCTTTCCTCTTGAATGAACATGAAAATGAGTCTCATTTTTGTTGATATTAACTGAAAGTTGTGATTCTGTTGAAAGGATTTTTATTCAATTAGAAAAATTTTGGTAAAATTAAACAATTTGAGTTTTTATCGAAATTAGTTTGTTCAATTGTTTTCAATCTTTTTCAATGGTTTCTACTTGTTCTCATGGAAAAGTTTTATCTGATGGAAAATGATGGAAATAATGAAAATAGTAAATAAACTCTTTTCTCATCATGTTATGAATTGAAACAACGTTTCTCTGTTAATGCAACAACAACCAAAACTGTTACTTTCATTATTAACTTTGAATAATTAGTTTCAGCTTAGTTTTAATAACGAATGCTAATTAAGTTGGAAATTGGTCTGAAAGAGATTTAGAAACGAAATTTAGTTCCTAAAGATTACTTGACTAAACGATCTAAAGAATGAATTTAGTTAGTTATCGAATGACTGTTATCTGTAAAGATGGAATGAGAGAAAAAAGTTCTTGAATATCGATATTAAAATTCCCAATATAATTACAAATGTAAAGAGCAACTCAACTTGAACTGCAAGTTTAAAGGGAAAATCATAAAATCATTTGATATTCAAAAGTGGATGTTCAGTTATGATTTGGGCGAAGAAGAAAAAAATTTTCATGGAATGAGAAAGAAAATTAATAAGAGTTTTGGGATGCACTCTTTGAGTTTATGATAAGTGAATAAGAAAAAGTAACTGTTTCATGATAGATTTTGATTAAAGAATTGAATCACTTTTGCGATTGAAATTGGTTCGAAATGAGATCAATATTTTCATTTGTTGAGAAAAATGTTGAAAAGTTTATCTCTTCTTGCAATGCTTAGTTGGATTGAAACAATGTCACTTGGAGTATTTTGTGATAAATTGGTGAGACATGATGGAATTTAATATGAACTTTTTACCACCGAAAATGATAATAATTTTGATGATTGCAATATCGATGTTGACAACATCTAAAAAACAAATATTGACCAAGTGAGAAGTAAAGTTCAACTTGAGCTTATAATGTTGAAAGTAAAAGTAAATATAAATCTTGTGAGAATGGCGATGAAAGAATGAAATTGAAACAGATTTTTTTTCTTCTGTTTTTCTCTTCTTCATACAAAGTAAATATGAAAGTTATACTAAACAAAATAAGACGATATGAAACTGTGCAAAGATGAGAGAGAAAAGAGTAGAAACAATAATATGAAAGAAGGAAAAAAATGTATTAAAACTAATAACACATATCATGGAGTTTGTAAGTTTTGATCAAGATTGAGATTGACACATAATAAGAGTAAAGATGAGAAAAATAAGTTGAAAAATGACAACATTTTGCTGTTTATATTGCATTTAAAACTAAATAACAAAAAAACTAAAAGTGGATCAAAGCAACAATAGAAGCTAATGGCAACTCTTTTGTTAATACCTTTTGACGCTGTTCACCTCGTGATCAGATCATTCTTTATCACTTTACTTTTATTATTAACCTTTTCAATTGAGTTAATATAACCTAATAGTTAGTTGATTAAAAAATAGACTTTTATTGCAAAAAAATTTCATTCTTTTGCAAGACATTCAGCTTCGAGCTCCAGCTTGGATACTTTAAGGTCAAATTTGAGTCAAGTTTAAAATACTCTTATCAAGCTGGGAATAACCATGAAGCATTCTTACTTAGCAATGCTAATCAAAAGTAAAGAAGTTTTTTGAAGAAATCAAATTTCGCTTTCAATTCTAATGCAAGTGGAATGAACTCTACTGATGTTACGATTATATCATCACTGGTTCAAGAGAAGTTCAGCTCTAACTTTATGTTCTTAGGTGTTTCCAAAGCTTTCGAAAACACTTGCTCGACCGAGTTGAAAAAATTGAGATTTTCACCAGTTGCAATATTCCAAGAGTGGAAATCAAAAAAGTTCAGGGATTGAGATGCATGTAAGGTGAATGTGGACACAACGAAAGAAATCAAGTCGAAATTTTTGATGGGTTCGATTACTAGAGCTAGTCTTGCAACTAATGAACGAACTTAGTTTCACTTCGAACATTTGAAATATAAACGATCATTTAAATTTTCGTCCAACTTGTGTATTCATTCCAAGTGTTCCTTGTTTCTTCCAATATCAAAATATAAACATTGAAACATTTTTATTTCATGAAAACTCCTTTTTTCGTCTCAATTTTCAATCAATTTTCATTTTGTTGAATGTCGATTCAAAATTTTGCTCTTCTTTTTGTGCATTGTTTTGAAATTTGTTGCAAAGGAAAGAAGAAGAAAGTAAAAAGAAACATTTTCTCTGTCAAATTGAATAACTTTCATAATAATAGCCTTAATATAATGTAATAAATTATTATTTTTGCTCGACTCGATATTGTTAATACATTGAATAGCATCATTACATGAGATGGTTGTTGATAAATTGATACAACATTTCAAGACTCGTAAGCATCGTTAGTTTGGGTTAAAGTGAAACAGATTATGAATATTTGCTTCTAATGAATACATATATAAATTTCAATCATTATTTCAGCATCAAATTGCAGCCATGAAAAATTGACTTTTAATGATAATCATTTATCATTCATATTTCTTCTAATTTCCTTTTCTTTTTCTTCTTTTCTCACCTTTTCTTCATGTTTCCAGGCGGTCGTCATTATATTTTCTCATCTGGTGAACTTTACATTCAACGAGTTGATCCTTCACTCGACAATAATTATCAATATCGATGTCAAACCAAACATCGAATTAGCGGAGAAATTAAATTGAGCTCAAATTCAGGAAGATTGATAATCACAGGTAAGTGGAAATTCATTAATCAAACAAACTTGTCATGCAACTTGTCCGTCATTGGATTTACATTGAAACAGTTTTTCGAACTTTTTATCGATAAAGTTTTTCGATTCTTTTTTTCTGTCATTTTTTGTGCCAAAAGAATGAACATTTCCAGAGTCAATTTTATTTCCTTTCAATTTGTATTCACTAATTTGTTTACTACTTCATCATGAGTCGAGTTTAGGATAATATTCAAAGAATAGTTCAATTTTTTTCTTCTCTTTTCGTCAGAAAATTGTATCCAGTGAGAAGAGAAAATGAAAAGAGATAAACTGAATTTACTGGGAAGGAATAATATTATGGATAAAATGATAAAAGAAACGAAATGTTCTGTTACATGTCAAGTAAATGAGGTGTGAATTTCAAGTCTTGAGGGTATAAAAAAGGGTTCAGATGTTCATGATAGGGATAAAAATGAAGGTCAATTGTGAGTTTACAACAAAAAGAGACGAGATGGAAAGAGATGAAATTGAGTTTGATAAAAAAATGTTCAAAAATGAACTTTATTCCAACCTTGAAAATTGCAAAACTCGTCTTTTTATGAGCATTTTGTTATCATCGGGTCAAAATCTTTCGAGTTTACAACATAAGGCTAACCAAGCAAAAAGAGTCTCAAGAGTTTCAAAGACTTTTCAGCCTTGAATCGGTTGGTCATTAACTAATCTTGAACGTTAAGTTTGTAACTAATTCAACATGGTTCAAGTTTACCTCATCAGGCTTTAATTTTGTGGTTGCATTGATTAAGTTTTGCCATTTTACTAACAGTAAGAAATACTTTTTAATGAAGTTTGGTCTTTTCCTTCCCAGAGCCTCATAGCAATGTTGCTCCTAAAGTAACAGATCGTCGAATCCGTTTAATCGCTCAATCGGGAGAGACTGTGATTTTACCCTGTTCTGGTCAAGGTTCACCAGTGCCGAGTATAACTTGGTATAAACGAACCTCTGATCCATATCAACAGCCTTTACTTGTGAATAACTTGAAGCCCACTTCATCATCAGATAATCGACTTAGCGAGTTAAATGGTCTTCTCATCTTCAAACCAGTTCGACTGCACGATTCAGGGAAATACATTTGTACGGTTAAAAATTCAATTGGACGTGATCAAATTGAAACTGAATTGGAAGTTACAGGTAAGTTGATGGACCAGATAATAATTATTGATTAAACATTTGTTACGCTTGTTTTACTTTGGCAAAAAGAGAAGCTCGGAAAAGTGAAAGAAAAGTCAGGAAAAAGAAGAAGAAGAAGAAAAATCTGAGTAAAGAAGATAAAATACCCACAAAACTAATGGACACTTTACTTGTCAATCTTTAATCTAATGACCCATGTCATTGATTAAATCAAGTAGCAGCTTTTTTCTTCTCACATTTTCAACTTTGATTTTCACAAGTGAACAGGAAAGGTAAAGGAAAACCAAAGGTTGAATAAATAATTGAATACACTCAGGTAGCAATAGTGTCGAGAAAATTTCAAGAGCAAACAATTTATTTTCCCTTTTCTTTAACAAGTTTATCAAGGTTTGTCAAAAAGTCACGAAAAAAACGAAAAAAAAAAATCTAATTCGTTTGTTGGCTAAACAAATCAATTGAATTGCTTCATGATTATCTGAGCATAAGTTTCAATGGAAATTCAATTTTCAAGAAAAGTAAAAAAAGTTTTCTTCAAATATGAAAACATATTCAAGTTAATAAATCTTTCAATTTAACCAGTTTCATTTCACTCTTGACTTTTGACGTTGATTTGATTATGATTTCATTAAAAGAATTGTTTTTTGCTTCTTTATCAGAACTGAGAACTTTTTTCATCACAAAAGTGTTTTTTTTAATTTTTTCAGTTCATTGTAAAGTAAAAGTAAAAGTTTATCATCAAAATTAATTGAAAACAATGATTTGATGGAAATGTTGAATTTATTTTCTTTTAATTTACAGAACCTTTGAAAGTTGTTTTACTTCCAAAGTTAATTGTAGCCATGGAAGGTCAAGAAATGGTTTCGTTCAATTGTTCCATTTCTGGTTCGCCAATTCGAAAGATATTTTGGCGAAAAGATGGTTCACCTTTACCTTTGCATAATCGTTATCGTCAGAATGAACATGGTTTGACCATTTTTCATCTTAAACGGGAAGATCGTGGCATGTACCAGTGCAGTGTGACCAATGATGCTGGTCAAAGTTCCGATTGGTCAAGCCTAACACTGGCCGATGATCCACCCAAACTGATTGAACTGTTTTCCGAGTCTATTCTACTTGAACCTGGTTCTCGTCTTTCACTCAAGTGCTCTGCCTCCGGGTCGCCCTTACCACAGATAACCTGGACCCTTGATGGGTTTCCCATTGGTGAACAGCTTCGCATCAGGGTTGGTGACTATGTGACTAGTGAAGGTCAGGTCAACAGCTTTGTCAACATTACGTCAATTACTGTTGACGAAGGTGGACTTTATACGTGCCTCGCAACCAATGGTGTTGGTTCCTCTGCTTCACACTCGGGTCGTGTCAATGTTTTAGGTCGACCCACAGTTAAACCCATGGGTAATGTGACTGTTGTTGCCGGTTCAACCTTTTCCATCAACTGTCCCTATTCGGGTCACCCCATCGAGTCTATTGTTTGGTATCGACGAGACTCACGTCTACCCGAGAATCATCGTCATCTTGTCCTTCCCAACGGGACTCTTGTTATCCGTGGAATTGAACGCTCTCATGATCAAGGTTTGTATAGGTGTTTGGTCACCAATAAACAAGGTGAAAGTGGAGCTTCGTCTGTTTTTATTCAAGTTATTGTTGCTCCACTCATTTCCATCGATTCGGTGCCAAATGTGAGGGAAGGAATGAGAAATATGTTGACTTGTAATGTGCTTGACGGTGATCCACCCTTTACCTTTACCTGGACCAAAGATGGATTACCAATCGATCCTGCTCAACATGAAAATATCAAAATTGCATCCATCAATGAATACTCTTCAACGCTCTTCATTTCCAAAGTTATGTTCAAAGACAATGGCAACTACACGTGCATCATATCAAACCAGGCAGCTTCTGCCAATCAAACAATCAACGTTCTGGTTAAAGGTAAGTTCAATTTTAACATTAAATTATTGATTCAATTAACAGCATTGCAAATAGTCGAATCTGTTATCCAAAAAAATATGTCAGTGGTCAATCAAGTTTATCAGTTAACCTATGAGTCAAGTTGATAGTTGAATGATTATCAAGTTCAAATGTAGTGCGATTGCCTGCAATTTTTACCGGGACCAAAGAGTAAAGGAGAAGAGGTTTCTCTCAATACAATTTTGTGAAGCTTACAAAGTGGCTCTGGCGAGGGCGCTTTAAAGGTATTTTTAATAGATTAGATAAAAAATTAGATTAAAATTAAATTGAAAGAGATTGAAAAAGTGACTGATTTGAGCGCCTCTCGTTGAGGACCGCTAACTAAACTTCTCATTGAATCCTATGGAGAGCTATCTCTTCTTCTTTACTCTTTGACCGGGACTAACTTGGTTTTTGGGACTGACTTCATTTTTATCAATTTCTTGTAAAGAGTAAAACTTGTCAAAAGTAAGCTGTTACCCTTTGACTTTTTTTCACAATAATAATGCACAATAACAAAATGATGAACAATAAAATTGCTAATGAAAAGGGTAAGCTTTGAACCATTTCTTTATTTTTTTGCAAAAAGTAAAAAATCTTTCAAAAATCGGGATTTTAAAATTGAACGAACTTCAACCATTTTGATTTTTATGCACAACTTGCTCGGTTAAACTTGTTGTGCATGTGTGAGGGTATATTTTGAATTCACAGTGACATTCACATTCTTAGACGAGCTTTTTCAACCAACCTAAGCTGACCTAATCTAACCTAACTCTTAATTGATAAATATGATGAGGGTTAAACTATCAATTTTGATTGTCACATTAGTCAAGTCTAGTAATTAACTGACAATATTTTCCTCGACCGATAACAATGAAATAATGTGAAAAGTGAAAGAAGATCATTTCTTGCGAATCAACTTTGTTGTTTCACTTGAAATGAAATCTGATTGGTGACATAATTTCATCTCTAACTTTGAACCATCATTGTGATTAATGATCGACAAACGAAGTCGGTCAATGATTTTGTTGAAGCTGACGGTGAAAGAGGTAAAAGACTGATGCAGCATGAGAAGAACGAGAAAAAAAACAATTTTCATTTGGATGAATGATTTTCAAGGTTTCAACTTCTGAAGAGGCTAAAGAGGATGAAAAGTTGGATGAACAATAAAAGCGAAAAAGAAGAAGAAAAAAGTTCATTTGATTGGCAGTAAAGATGTTGATGTCATATGGAAACGGAATTGTAGATTGGTAATCATATTTTTGACTGTTGAGCAAAGATGAAAGGAAGAAGAAAAAAAAGTCAGATAAAGATGGAAAAAAGAAAAAGGAATTAGTCAAAAGATGGTGAAAAAAAGAAGAGAAAAAATGGGAAAATGAAAGAAAACGAGTTAATAGAAGAATTGTTTCTGATGATGACAGAGAGAGAGAAATGAGAAGATGAAAGAAGAGAGTAAAAAGAAATTAATAAAAGTGGTTTGATCTGTTGACATGATGATTTCACTTTACATTGACTCACTTTAACTCACTTCAATCATGAATCATTCCAAGAAAATGATTCTCAAATCTTTCATTTCCGATTTCATTTCTCCATCAGAGCAAAGATGATAATGAAGATGATGGTGAAAATGCAATTATTTAACTGATTCCTTCTGTTCATCAAGTTGCAGGCAAAAATGAAGAGTAAAAATGAAGGATTGAAAGTTGTTCAAAAAGAGCAAGAAAACCCAGTCAACAGTGAAGAGTCAATTTTGAACGAAAAAGTTGCTTCATTTGGTCACTTTCCTCAAAAAAATATAACAATTATAATGAAGATAAAGAACTTTCTGAATCTTCGAATATCGAGATAAAAGAAGATGGTTTTGAGCTCATGGACAATAATTATAATCATGTTCGTGCTTTTAAATTTTCCTAGTTATGAGAATTTTATTTTTCCATTCGATTCCAAATTCAATGTTGTCACAATTATCAATTGATCTAGAGTTCAAACTCTGATTGTGATTCCTTTTTTACTGATTTTATTGAATTTTTCAACTCCAACTTGCTACAATATTTGATTATTTTTGAAGAAAATAATTAATCTGTTGAAAAAAATTAAGAACACAATTTGAGTGAAAAGCTTTCAAAGTAGTTCAAAATTTTCTGTTAACTGGGAGTGTAATGATAAGATGATGAAAACAAAAAAAGAGAAAAAAGTTTTTTCTTTTCATATTTGCCATTCTTATATCAATGATTTGCAACAATAATCTTTCCCTGACTGTTCAACCTTTTGCATGATAAAATTTTTTAGACATTTTTCAACTCCCAATCCTTTGAACTCTACAGTTATCAACTATTTTTAGACACAAACATTACTACTTGTTCTTTGCTGGAAATATTTTTCCATTTTTTTTGCTTCTCTTTTCCTTGATTGTGATATCATGTCAACTTCAGATGACATTGTGTTTTCATTTATGAATTTTCAACTTTAAAGATTCCATCTTTTTTCCAAACTCATTGTCTTGCCACAAGAATCCAGTTCTCCCGAGGTTCAGTTTAGTCAAATTTGACTGAAAACTTTTGAGGTAAAATTGGAAATAAAATGGTTTGTTGGAAAAGGTTAAAACCAATGTTTCTGTTTTTCACAAAAGCCAATTGAGGGAAACATGCAGCTTCAACTATCTTGTGATGATGAAGATGAATTTGAATGTTTAGCACAACAGATTATACAACAGTATGAAAGAGTTTAAAGTACAATGTGAATGCTAGAGAAAAAAGTTACTTGAATAAGAAGGTTAAAGAACATTTCGAGTTGAAAATTTTGCTCGTTTCTTCATCTTTATCAAAGGAATACAATAAGAGTAGAAAAATTGTGAAAAGGTAGTTGAAGAAGAAGACGAAGGAAAAAGATGAAGATGATGATGATGTTGATGGAGAAGAAAAGTATAATTCTGTGTGAAAGATACAGAGGAATAAAATGGATAAAAAAAGTTGAGTTTTGGGTTCCAAAAATGGACTGAAATGGTTTTATGATGAAGCCAAGGTTCTTTACAAACCATTAGGTTGATTCAATGAGAACAACTTAGCTTTTCAATAATACAATAAAAGGACATATCAAAGATTGCCTACTATTCCTAGTTGTTCAGTGCAAATCTCTCGGCTCTCCATCATGCTTTATCATTATCATTCATCTATTCACATTTTTCTACTCAAATCAGACTGAATGTTTGAAGGAAATTATTTTTCACGAAAGATTGAAACGGCTAAATAAAATTGAATATTCAATTCTGACATGGTTAAATTGAGTAAAAAGCAAGCTTTCTAGCAGAGTTGAAGCGTATTCTGGTAGTAAAAGCTTGAGAGACTTGCTTTCAGATTATGAACAATCGATGATTAAAATTCGCAGTTGATTTTATAACAAGAGGATCCCCCGATCATGCATGATCGCGAATTTCTTTTTAAGCCGTACGATGCATAAATCTGTATTTAAAGACTTAAATTCTGAATCAAAATTCACCCCTAGTTGACAATCATTGATTTCAAAATTTGTCATTTGATCTCTTTTTGTTGAGTTTTGCACCAGTTTTTTTACCAAACTCTTTACTCGAAAGACGGTTTTACACATAATCCTAGTCCACTAAAAAACCATCAACCTAAGTAACCAAAAAGCTTTGTTGCCAAACTGAGTGTCAAAAAATTTGGATTCTGCATTTTTCCCTCTACTCTGTTTAAACGTGAATTTCTCAGTGACCTGAATTCTGATTAATCTCTGACTATTTTTCGGACATGAAGCTTGTTGGTTGCAAATATCAACTTTATTTACTTTATTATAACTTAAACTAACCTTTCTCTTTATTTAAATGTTCAATATGACTTATTAGTCATGATTAACCTTTAATCTAAATTCATTTCAAATTTTGACTTTATGACTTTTTCCTGTTTCCTGTGTACGACTCATAGTTCATGAGAAAACCTCAGTTTCTCTATAAACTATGAACCCTCAAAAGTCCCAGGCAAAGTGCCTACTTTACCTCAACCACTCAACCTTATAACTTGATCCTTTCTTGATCATTTACTATTGACTTATAACTAACTATAACACCCAATTTCACCCCTTAAACCTAGAAGCTATTTTGACCCTTCAACTTGACCATTTTCCCCTACTTAAGCTATTTTCAACCTTTTGCTACAAACAGACACAAATCCCTAAAGCAACTCACATTCCTTGGTTTTCTTTCACTCGTCCATCTTAACCGTCAAACAAACTCTTACTCACCGAGGACTCAAAAGGGCTGTCTTAACTGCCCTAGTATAAAATGACTAAAATGTCACCTTAACAAGTATGGTGTGCATTGTATGTCAATGGTGTAATTTTTTCGTATGTTCATTCTGTTGAACTTAACTAGTTTTTGTATCTTTCTGCATTGTGCTCATTGGTGTTAATTTACCTAAAGTTGAATCGTCATTGCTTCTGTATCAATTTTAACAATTTTGAATAAACTCATTTAAATTGATTATTTTGACTTCGTGTATGTTTGGTCTGAATATTGACCGTGTGTTTTGTTTTATTTGATTCATTTTTGACTTCATTGAATTCACCATCATAACCAACAAAGCTCAATGTGCAAACTGCAAACTGTGTAAAATTTTCTTTAGAAAGCTTTCCGCTTAGTTACAATTTTAACAAAAAATTTGCTTTATTAAATTAAGAAATTAAAAATTAAAAAAAAATGATTTATTGGCGAAAAAGCATAAGCTGTTGATAGTGAGTAATATTTATATCGAAATAAAAAATTTTAGCGCGATTATCGTGCGTGCAGTTATTATCTTTATTCAAGCAACTACTTTCGGGAAAAAACAGATGAATATAAGATTTATTCAAAGTATTTTTTATTCATCTAACAATAGTAATTATCTTGTAAGATAGGAGGACATGATACAATTATTTCCAAGCTTAAAATTTCCGAAAACAGGTTCTTAAACATTGAAGAAAACGATTATTTTTGCTGTGAAAATTGCAAGCTTGAGTTAAAAGAGTTATTTAATTATCTTCCCCGACCAATGAAGAGGATTTCTGTACATTTGCCATTATCTGAAATACAACGAAACATAGAAGAATATACAATAAACGAAATGAATTCATGATAAGTATAACCGAATATCATTTTTCAAGCCATAAATGATATTTGTTTAAACTTTTTTTGTATCGTAAAAATATGAATCAATAAAACTCAAGATACTCACCAGAACAAAAATCACCCTGATCACAATCGGCTCTCTTTGTGCAATTCTTAGCGGCACAAATCTACAAGGCAAGAGTGAAATCAATTTATATAGCTTCTATTATTTATCACAATTAACTATTTAGTTAATGATGATGTTGATTGTTTTGTGGATTAAAGCAAAATAATTAAAAACGAATATGCTACTCACTATAATGCCCAGCCAGATTAATTTGGAATATAAAGCAATGAAATTCATAGTGAAACTGTATACGTTATGAGGAATTTAACTTGAATAAAAATTGATATCAGACAACCAAATGATTTGGAAGAAGCTTTATATACACTAGTAGTCAAGGTTAAGTTAACAAAGACTAGTAGAAAATTCAGTCATCAACTGCAAGAAATGAAAACATAGTTACGATCCAATTTTGTTAATTATTCATCACGGAAACGGAAAACTGTTTCATTTTTGAAGTATAAATTATACGCGACATCAAACTATGTGTAGGTTACACACTCATAATATTAATATTTATTGATTCGTATCAGACGATCCATTTATTTATTCATTATTTGCACAGATCAAGTTTTGAAACTAACAAAGAGTTGAGATGAATGGATAATTCATTTAAGTCAAATTTTACTGATTTTTTTAGTGGTATGCCCAAAGGGGAAAAAAGAAACCCCAAAATGATCAGTCTTTAACTCCCAAGTCAAAGGACAAGACGATATCAGTTCTCATCTCTTTCTTAATCCATCTCAGAAGAAAAATGAAAATATATTTGATTATTCTCTGAATATTATTATTTAAATGGTAAAACTCTAACTTAATCTTCACAGGTTAGCTACTGCTGTATTCAACCTCACCAATCAATCGGTTTGTTCAGTTGTGTTAGCAATTATTTACAGTCAAACTAGTTGAACTGGTTAACAGTCAACGTAAACGATTGTTGAACAGAATTCATTAGGGATTTAAGGTTCCGTTTCCGAACCAGGAAAACCAAAGTCAAAGGAAAGACGTTTTTTAATCTTTTTTATATTTACTTTTCTAGCAAACAGTTTACACCTTTTTTCACTCAAGCATCATAATTTTCATGTTAATATAACAGAAGCAAAAGGTAACACGAAAATGAGTGGGACTAGAAAAGGTTAAAAACTTAATGATCCAAAAGTATTATTACAACTGTTTCCATCAACAGCTTCTAGCATTTTTCAGTTAATGCATGTTTTGGGTTAATGAAGTAGACAAGGTAAACTGACTGCGAAACAAAACAAACAACAAAAACAATTTGTTTTCTTGCTCTTGTTGTTTCCTATTTATTTATATTTATTTATCATTAATAAATCAACATTTTCTCCCTCCTTTCATACCTTTTGAGGTAATTTCATCTCGAACAAAAGAGAAACACTTTTTTTCAATATTTCAAGACAACAAAAGATGCTGTGTTTGGTAAAGGATGAAATTGCTCGATTTTTGTTGCTTCAAAAGTTTAATGTGAAAAATTATTAGATGTACAAATTGTATCAGGGGATCAAGAATCGAGGGTTCAAGTTGTGCGATATAATGGGCAAACTTTTCTCCCTCAACATAGGTTATTGCCAGTCTACAATTCATTGTTCCATGTGAATAACGATTTTTTTCTGTCCAATCTCAAACCTTTAAGTTTTTCATTTTCACCTCAAAGAATTGATTACAATTCAATTGTTTTCAACCATTCCAGTTGCTCATTCCAAGTCAAATATTTTGTTATGTATGAGTATTGTTCGGTCTGGCAAAAAAAGTTTTAAAAATCTTTACTTTTCATTTTCTCGGTTAGGAAATAAAGTCTTGGGTAATCAATTCCCTGTTAAGCATGGGAAAATATTCACTTTCTGTGGTTATTTGCTGACAAATTTTTCAAATGTTTGCCACCGTTTCGTTTCATATTACCCGTCAGTGTTACAGCTTACAAAAAATCATATTAATGGCCAGCGGTGACCTGAACAAATAAGTTTCTTCCGTTTTTAACTAATTATTGATTTACTAAGTATTATGAGTAATACATGTATGTCCTGGTGAAGAAACAAAATAGACAGAAAAAATTCTAAAAAACTTGCAAGAAATCGAAACAAGAGGAATTCGGAAAGAGACAATGAGAGATGACGACAATCGTTTATGCATATGATGGCAAAGTCAAACAGCTAGTTTACTGAAAAATTGCTTTAAAGTGACCTTTAAATTCAAATAAAATACAATTAAGTGACTAAAATTGAAAAATGAACATTTACTCAAACAGAATTAAATTCAAAGCTGAATCTGATTCATAGGCTGAAAGTGAGTATAAAAGACCATCATTTTCATTGAGCTGATATCAGTTACAGTTTCAATTTGTTCCAGCTTACCTAATTTTCTAGAACATTTGAATTTTCATTCGAAAGTAAAGTAAAAACACCAAAATGCAATTTACTAAAACAGTTCAACTCGTATTTCTCATCGCTTTCATTGCCATGTTCAATTGTGTTTCTGCTAGAAGATTGCTTAGAAATGTTCCTAAAGCTCCATTGCAAATGCTAGGTATGGATACTACAACGCCCGCAGTTGACGAAACTTCTCCTTGATTGATTCAATCTGATCTGTCTCTGAATATGGGTCTACATCGATCTTTTTATTCAGTCACAATATTCTAATAGTCATTCTTTCCAATAATGAATTCAACCTTTATTGATATCAAAACTATGAAAATTATAAACTTTAATAAAATTATTTGAACTCTAATATCGTTTAAAAAATTCGGAATCATTACAATTTTCAATTTTCAACGTTCAAAGTGTTTATTGAATAATTGTGATTTATTAATAATATCAAGACTGTTTACAAATCTGTTAACATTCTCAGTAACAATTTATAATTGTTTCATCAAGATTCAAGTGCAATTTTTCTTTTGTCAGATTTCAACACATAATAATTATTGCATGGTAAAATTGCGTAAATGAGAAGACAAAAAATAAGATTGTTGGATAAGATTGAGCTCGAGAAACAATGATAAAGTCAATCGAAAACTTGATTGTTCAATTGATGGATCAAGAGTGTTGTCTTGATGTTTCGAGATGTTGATGTTTCTTTTTCATCTTTCTTAAAGTGATCTTAATTTGATTTTCACTTTTTGAAAGTTTAAATTGGTTGGTCAAAATGTGTTTGCCCAAATGTTTGAACAACTTACAGAAAAGTGAATAAACAGAAGTTACAGGGAGGTAAAACTCTGATTGTCTTCAAGTCAGTAAAGGTGATAATGATGAGAGTTGCGAAGAGAAGGAAAAAGAAAGATAATGATGATCAATGGACAGGAGTAGTTTCAAGTTGATCATTTTTATCGTTACCAAACAATGAGCAGAAAATGTTGATAAGTTGACTTTTTTGTTATGTTAGTAAAACTGTAGCCAGGAAAAAAAGAGGAAAAGAGAAGAGACAAAATGAACAAAAGATGATACAAAAGATGATGGACTTTTAATGATGAGAAAAGATGAAAACTTTCAAGATGATGATGATGAACAAATAGATGAACTCCACCTTGAAAAGTGAGTGAAATGTTGCTCTTTAAAGAATTGGTTGACAAAAGAGAAACAATAAATTGGTTTAATGTCAATTTGCCGGTTGACATTTGAAGCTACTAAAGGTCTTGCCCTAAACAGTAACAATAAAAAAATAACGTAAAACTTGATGATTTAATATGAAGAGAAATGTGGAAAAATGAAATTTTTTGTCGAAAAAAAAACAAAAACGAAAAAAATGATTGAAGAAAAGAAAAACCTTTATCATGAACATTTTGATGAAATTTATTGATAGATTGTTATCATTACAAGAATGGAAAAGTAATAATGGCTGGTGAAAAGTGAATTAAGTAATGATCGGTAAAAGTTAAGAAACATGGAACAGAAAAGTTGAATCACTGAGTTATAAAATGGATTGACATTCAATATAACTGAGTTGAAGAAATTGATGATTTACCGGTGAGTTTATCAACAATTGCTTCATTTTCCAATAAACGTTATATTGTTTCATTTCAAAAAATCTGAAAATTCGAAGCACTATGCGTTCAAGAGAGAAACAATTTGGAGTTGATCGCTTTGCAATTTGTAAGTAATCTATTCAGTTTTTTGTCTTTTCACGAACTGTTGAAGAAATTTAAGTGCACCCATATTTTTGAGACAATCAGATTAGAACAATTAGGTGATTACTGATCAAGAACTTTATTTTTTCTTAGAAAACCCTCAATCGATTAACATTGACTATTGAGTTTGCCGGAATGATATAGTGGTGTCCTGATCATAATAAGCTATCACAACTTATTGCTTTGCTTGCCGACGATTTAGACTTTGAACAACCAAGCTGCGATTCTTCAAGTCTCCCAAGTCCCAGCGCTAAAATGCGGCTGACGCTTACAGTTATTTGCGACAGCTATCGATAGGTGCTCATGGTAGATTGATTGATGGCCGCGGTGTGGTAGAAGAGTGATCGTAGAGAAAGAAATTGGTAAAAAGAAGTATTATATAATCGTGACTGATCGCAGCATGTAATTAGATCATAATAACTGTCTTTAAAATCTTTATTTCAACAAATAAAAAGAATGACGATAAGTTTCATAACTCATATCAGTTCTGCATTCATTTTAGACTTGAGGATTTAATGGCTTCATTAGATTAGTTTGTCATAACAGATGGAGAAAGACATCGATGATATTTGCTGAAAAAATTCCACGCTAAGGTATTGCAACTTATAAAATTAGCCTCCCTATTTTTGACTCAACTTTTTTGACAAAATTGACATACAATTCGGAAAATGGACTGCTTTGACTAGCTAAATAGACATGAAAGAATGGATCGGAAATGAAATATAAAGCTGAATAAATTGAATAAAAACAACTCACTGGTCAAGAGAGCAAGATTCACCAGGAAGACAACGACACGGTATACGACACGGCTCATAACTTTGACATGAAAATCACTTCTGAGCATTATGAAACCAATGAATCTTAGAATTTCTTAGGTATTCAGTTAAATAATTAGAAATGAAGGAAATAGTGAATGATTCATCGAAAGTTACATTTATTTGCAAACTGATAAATAGATGATTAATGTTTATCAAATCTAGCTGAAACAATATTCCAACGCATCACAAGATATTTTAAATAAAACTTTATCTAGTTTTCATTGTTTAGTTTAAGCTGGGGAAATATTTGAAGAAAAATGAACCTCAATGATTCAAATGATAAATACTGGAATGATTGTACACGTTATGTCTAGATGAAACAGAGCTTGACAGTGCAATGGGAACCCAAATAAAACTTGATGCTAATGCTAGAAAAGTCAAACAGCTCTGTTTGGTGAAAATT